TTAAGAAAAAGGATGGCATTTATTATAAAGTATATCAGCAAATTGAATACGTTATAGATACTTACACAGTATCCATTATGTACGGCACCACCAGCGTAATTGTGCGACTAGACACATATAGACATAGACATATATTTATGAAATTCAAAACATATAAACAAACACAAATTCGTTAATTTGACTAACCTTGGGTTCATTGCCTATCTTGTCCATTAATAACATTACTTCCTTAGTGACAGTTTCATCATCATCATCAGGCATATATAAAGTGGGTGGAGGTTGTGCTTCCATATAAGCTATTCCGGATACACTACAAATGTGCATAATTACAGAAAGTCAATAATAATAGTCGTTATTCTGTTCATGAGATCATCAAAAATTACCGTGGCCGTCGAGGTCGTTTTTCTGGAGGAAGCTTGGATGAATCTGACTTGGATGTTCTGCCCGATTTTTTATCCTTTGTCAAAGTATTTTTTGACAAAGATGTCAGTGTCGCAGACTAGGAATTTGTTTTATTTCTTTTAGTACTCATTTATATATCAGCTAACGAATAATTTAATTTTCAATAAATTCTATTTATATAATAATTACTGAACACTAGGTATCCGTCCAGGAACAGGTAATCTATATTTTGCCAATTTTGCAAAATATTTTTGTACCCCTGAATATTTATGAATAAATTCAATTATGATTGATTTGCAATAAAATGCCGTTGACACCTATCGCACTCGTCATAGTTCCAAAAATATTTTTACCTGCTTTGGAGTTCTGGCCTTCAAGCAGTTTGCAATATTTTTGAATCTATGCGACCGAACTCCTCTTTCTGGGTATTTAGCACAAGCGTTCCAATTGACGCTTTTTGAATATGCAAGATCTATTATGTAACCTGATAAATTTGTACCAATCATGATTTATGAAACATGTCATTTGCGCTAACGCATACCTGCTCCTCATCTCACCATGACGCATGTTTCGATGAATCATTATTCTGCTTACTAAATTTCATATACACACGCGTATGTACTTACGACAATATTTGATCACGTGCAAATAAATTTGACATATTCAATAATTACCTTTTTTAAATTATTCTTCTGATCGGTATGTGTATGTATCGAATTAATCTGATTACTTGAATAATTCGTGTTTTTGGTAATTGCATTTGGCCTATCAATAAATGCAATAAATGGATTATTGGAAACGGCATGATTACAGTTAGACCCCCTTAAATGCACGTTCTCCCTAAATGCATATCACCACTTAGACCCAACTAGTATAAAGCTTATAGATTTATCTCCCTAAATGCATGTTTATACATATTGTTTCATCGCTGTGCATTTAGAGAAGTCTGACTGTATAAGCAAAAAGAATGCATAAACATATAGTAATTTATATAATGACGAAACGAACCTTGTAGAACAATTTGAAATTAAACACTGTGCTTTATTCGACGTAGTCCGAGCTGGCATTTGTTTTCTTTTTAAGCTCAACGGCGTTGACCCTTGCACATTTATATATGCTTCCGACGGAAGTGTGAATGTACTTTCGTCATCGCTACTTTGATTAATTCTTTTTTTCTTAGAACGCGTTGATTTTATCGCGTTTTGAGGAACTTTGAAACCAAGTTCTTGAGCTTTTTGGTGAACAAATTCAACGATGTCTGGTGAGGACTCTCGACCAGATCGTGATCTATCACTTGAAGATGGGTTCACCCGCTCCTTTGATCGCGTATTAGAAAGTTAGCAGAAGAAATGATTGGTTATTAGATTTAAACAAATAATGAATGGGAATTAACCTTGGAACTTTTCATTACTTCTTGATCTAAAAAAGAATTAATCCTGTAAAATTTGATCAAGGTCAACAATATAACTCCAATTTTGATGTGTTACCTATACGCGCTTTGTATTTTGAAGGTGTGGTATGATACTTGCTCCAATCAATTGTTGGTGCACCAAATATGAATTGCCTTTTAGGAACCTTTTCGTTAGTCTGCAAAGCAAGTATGAAAGAAATAAATTGCCGCGTTTAATAAGGTGACTAACTTATGGGTCAGACGGTTACTAACCCCATTGCGCAAATCTTCGACAAATTGAATTGGGTCCTTTAAGGCCTTTTCCTTCATTGATTTCAATTTGCAAATATCTTCTTTTACTTGTTGCAATTGAAATTTTAAAACATTAACAGCCCTCGAAACCATTTCATAGCTAAAAACAGGTTACCGAAAAGGTATCAATATTGAATAGAAGAATCATAACAAAAAGATTTAAATTTATAAAAAAAGACTTACTCTTCATTATCTCTTAACAATTTTTCTTCCAAATTATGTGAGTCGGTAGTTTCTTCTATATCGTTGATATTCATTGCACGTTCTTTATTATCCTTGTTATCTTCCTGCTGCGGTACTTCGTGTTGAGTAGTGTGTTGTGAAGGTGAACATTGGTCCAAAATATGATCCTCCAAAACTTTAAAAGTTTGGTTTTGCACATTTTCTTTTTGTGGAACTTCAAGCAATTCTTCAGGTTGTAATGATTCGCGAGAATTTTGACAAGGCTCTTGGTTTTGTTGAACATGCTGCGGCTGCTCCTCTTGACTTAAAAAAAATTTTACTGTTTCTTTAGTCGCATGATTAGTGTGTTCTCCGGTATGGAACAAGCTTGCATCATTAGAAGACGTATCAAAAGCAATTGGAGCCATTTATTAACGAAAATAAAATGGGTTAAAAAAAAAGGACTTGGTGTTAGAAATTGAACAAACAGATCTTAAAAACCGATAAAAAAAATTTTTTTTGTCATACAGAACACGAATATCAATATGGAAAATAAAGTGATGCAACACGAATCACCTGATAATTATTTAATTTATAATGACTCCGAAAAGTTATTTCTTTAATACTTTTTTATTTGAAACACTAAAATCCTGATTAGCATTTTAGAAGACTTTTCTACGTGACATTGTATGTAAAGTGATGTTTTTTAAACATATAGTTTTGCTTTATTCAAAATCATAATTAATCGATTGAAAGTTCTGGAATACTCGATTCCCACATATAATAATATTTATACATTTCTGAAGAAAATTTAAAACTTTGTAAGTCATTTAACATTAGTTTTCCTTTTATAAATTGTTTGCTAACTTCAATTAAAAAATAGCATGGATAAACAAGTTGACGATTCTTCTCGATTAGAACAAAAGTTAGAAAATTTGCGATCAAAAATGAGGACTGAAGTATGAATTATCATGATATACGAAAATTATAACTTGAAAAGACATCCTGATATAATTTTTATTATCATTTTGTAAGAGTCCGACAGGTGGTTCAAAAGGTAGCAGACTTGACGAATTGGAGAGTCGGAATTTTACTTTGGAAGAAGAGGTGTTATTTCGTTTATGTCAAACTTGATTTTTACTTTGATATTATTTATAACATAAAAGCATTTTGAAATAGGTTAAAGATCTAAAAATTCAATTAAATGAAAAACAAAATGAGCTTTCCAGGGCCCAAGAGTTGGTGAACAAACGTACAGGTATAAAATAATCATTATTTAATATGAATTAATAAATAAATAAATATATATAAACTATATGTATATAATATATTAAAGGGCCATATACCACAAAATTTTTAAATTATTTTTATAGCTGAGTTAGAAAAGACAAAAGTGGAATATGAAGAAAAACTGAAGAAAATGAGAGGTATGTTATACAAATCATGATAATCTAAATATTTTTTTCTCACTATCATTGTTCATTACGATTTTTATGGCAGGAATATTTAATGCCGCAAACAAAACTATAAATGAATTAAGACAAAATGTGGCATCAAAAAATACAGAGATTGAAGAGTTGAAAGCAAATATAGAAGGTTTAGAAGTGAAAGACCAAAAGACAAAATCAACAGCGGATGAAAGCCGAAGTTAATATACATTTTTAACTGTTTAATTTGTTAAGAGATTTAAGGTTTATATATTTGATATATCTTTTTATAATAGAATCGATGGAAAGGTTGACAACAGAAATGCATAGTCAAGCGGCTATGTATAATGCACAGATAGAGCAACTGGTACATTTAAGGATTTTTATGCTCATATATCTTCAGTTAAGGTTGATTAAAATTTAATTTATGATAGGAATCAAAACTTCGACAAGCAACACAACAAACAACACAAATTAAATCAGAATTTCAGCAATATAAGATAAGAGCACATACATTGCTCGAACAAAAAAATATCAATAATGTCAATACAGATAATTCTGGATCTGATAAATCGGAGTTAGTTGCAGCAAACAAAAAATTGGAATCAGACCTAAGGTTAGTGTTAAACTTAATTAAGTTTAGAATTTATCCTAACACTTACACGTAACAAATATTTTACAGCCTTAAAGCCACCGAGTTAAAATACGCACATGATAGCATTAAAGCAGTAAAAAATGATCTTAAACATGCACTCGAACTGAATACCCATCTTGAAAAAGAACTCGAGAAAGCACAAAAGACTGCGCGTGAAAACGCGGATTCTGTTAAAGATATACAGGAGAAATTACAGAAACTTTCAAAGGAAAATACTACCTTACAGGAAGGTTGGTTAGTTTGTTTTATTTTACTATTGACCAGTTACGTAATTATACTTTTCTTATATATTGAATATATTTTGACGAATGCCTATATTTTCATCGTGAATTTAGCTTTACGTGAAGCTAATGCTAATTATGCAATCAGTGCTAAGGATTTTGATGATAAGCTCTCAAAGTCAACAGATGCAATCAAGAAAAATCTTCAACAAAAACTAGAAGAAAATGAGCAATTGCAATCAATATCAGAAGTAGGTCATTATCTAATTAATATTTTAATGTGTAAATGTTGATTTATTATAACTATGATTTCTATTTATATAGCAACTTAGTGAAGAGCTGACAAAGTTGCGAGAAGAACTATCACAATGTACCGAACAAGTTGATGACCTCAAAAAGCAGCTTGCAGTTGCAAGAGCTCCATTAGCTATACGTACAAATATTCGAAAGGACGATAGCCGACCTTCATCGCCGTCACCTTCGTTAAGGACATTAAGTCGATCTAATTCTACTCATAGTAAATTTTATTTTAATATAAATCTTTTAATATAAATCTATGGTTTTTATATTTGTGATTTACAATATTTTTATATCTTTAGATTCATTATCTGACCTTCTATCTGATATGGAAGGACGAACATCCATGGTATCGACTTCGGCGCTAGAATCAGCTGATAAGGAAAAGGATTACATAATGAAGTTAAAACATATGGCAGAAATGTTAAACGAAAGTGAATCACAAGTACAGAAATTACTTGAGCAAGAAAAGGTTATTTTTATATTTAATATAATGCAATATTTTACATTCAAATATATTCATTTGAAATTGCAATTCATTCTTTGATTTAGTTTTTGAAGGAAGAAATCAGGAAATTAGATCGTTTAGAAAAACGGCAAAATTTAAATGTGGAGTATTTAAAGAATGTTGTACTTAAATTTTTTGAAACTAATCCTATGGATCGTGAGGTATTTAATCAGTCATCACTATTTGAACATTTTGGGTTATATAAGTTCACATTTTTATTTTTTATTTAGCCATTAGTCCCTGTAATATCAACAATATTGCAGTTAAGTCCAGAGGAAACGATAAGCCTAAAGGAGAATGCAATACATAGTCCTTCTAGCCCAGTTGTATTAGGGTTTGGGGTTTTGTGATAGAGCACGCATATTCATATAGTATTATCAATAATTGTTTTTCCTGTAAAATTAAGGTGTTAGGTGTTAAACAATATTAATACTGTATTATCATTTATGGTGTGTACGATTTTTGTCAAAATTTTACAATTAAATATATTAGAAACTTTTTAGATAGCTTTTTTAAATAATTGTAATAATTTAATATCGGGATTTAGATTACATAGCAATTTAAATAATCATTTTGGGCAATTAATATACAATTTAGCTAAGTAAAATATAAGAAATTAGCTATTTTGACAATTATTTAGATACGTCTTATCTTAGTAGGTATATATGTTACGTGTCGAATTGGCTTTTAAACTTGACCCGGGTCAAATTGATCAATTAAAAACCCGGTCTGTATCAACATAATTCCGGCCCGCCCTAACCAGTGTTATAAATTCAAAAAATTTTTATTGGCGCAAACGCACAAAAAAAAATTGTCCGCGATATGCTAAATATTCTTATTTTTGCGTAATATGTGTTTTAAATTATGGTGAGAGTAATCTAGCAGTATAGAGATTGTACCCGCTAAGAAATTTTCTACCCGGGTACTATTAAATTACCCGGTCATCTGGATAATTATATAATAGAAATGTCTACCCGGGTATACATGTGTGCCTAAATTGCCCATCTTAATAAAAAAGTAATTACCGTTACGGCATTTAGGCAGACGAAATTAGTCTTATGTAGTGCCGAAATTAATTTTCATATTTGCCGAAATTATTGCCGAAATTTTTTGGACTCTTTTCA